TAACGTTGTTCAGCAGATCTGAATTTATTTAGTTGAATTATAGGAAAAGATTGTACATATGGACAATGAATTTTTTGGAGAAAATATGAAACAATGAAGAAATTTTTATTTCTTTTTAATTTAATTCTGTTGAGTTAATTTCATTTCTTTTTCTCAGAGGTTAAGTTTAATCTCTACTGGAGAATGTTTGAACAAATTTATTATATCATAAATGTTGTCTAATTTTAACGAGAAGTGAATTTGTTACTAAATATGTAATCTAGTTAATCTGTTAAATAATAAAGTACGGTTTTTTATGTCCATTACTCTCGCTTCATTTTTAAGAACAATTGTGTGTAATAAAAATGCATTAACAGTAAACAACTGATTAGCTGTTTCTTAACTACAGGAGCACAGCTACAACGGATCTTATTGCAACGAAGATAAACTTAGTATACAATAAAACTAAATTATAAGAATAATTAATCTAATTAGTAATGCGTAGGCCCTCCTCTATTTTCAGTTAACTCAACTGTTCGATTGTGTACGTATATATACATACATATATATTATGTAATTACATTATTCGCACATATATGTACATACTGTGAAACTGTAGCTATGTAGCTCGCAGGGATACATTGGCCGTTCGATTTTTCTCCCAAGTTCGGCTGTTCGTTATGTATTTGAATTCGGTGATGAATTTCACACGAACTAATTCACGCTCACTCTTTCTCTCGTATTAATGTAAATTATCACTCAAATTGTTACGAAACGTATTAGACGATCACTTCAAATTACTATGAAATATACTAGCAAATTTCCATACGTGCTGTTACCACCAAGAACATGTACTAAACTGATTGAAACAAATTACAAAATAGTGTCTATACAGCAGACCAGAAGAATTACTGGAATATACAAACGCCTATAATCTGGAAACAAGGTCGTATCGGGTACATGTTCATATCAACTGTTTTCCTTATTTTAGCGTCCTGAATCCATTCCCTGAAGTTACGCCCATATGTTTTGAAACATCTTGTATACTGGTTGACAGCCACCGTATTGTTTATATTACAGAAACAAAATGACGTCCCTACGAACATGTTTCAAGATTTAAAAAGAAACTGGAATGAAATAGGCGAAGTTGGGAAAAGGCATTAAACTGCACAATTACCATATATTTTTACTATCTCGAAAATGAAAGGAGTCCGTCGGTAACAGGTGTAGAGAAAAATTGTTTAAAATGTTGACGATATAGTTCAAGATCGTTGAAATCAACGCTGAGGACCCTATTCCCAATAATTACCCAAAAGGTTTCCCCTGTTACTGTACAAGTACATTATCAAATTACCAACGAATTGGAAAATAATTGGAAAGCTGCGAGTTAAACCGATCTGGTACAATGCATTCGCTCGTGTGAACAGGCTTGAAGTGGCCCCATAGCTGAAGTGTATCCCCTATCTGTCATATACAACTGAGACCTTGAGTTTCCTGCACAGCTTTACGATGAAACTTCAGAACCCTCGTCGTGTTTAAAATGTCCCGTGCTTTTCCCTAGATTTTCCGCATCTTGAACACGTGTAAAAAATTCGTCGCTTATGGCGCACGCCGAGGAAAGTAGCGGTACACCCACTTTATTCGAGGTGAAAGCAAAGACGGAGATGGATACAAGATACTTCATACGATAGCTTATTACCAGAAAAGACAGCGGGGAACTTTTCGGGAGTTTATAGCGGCGAAATAGTGCAAGGAAGTTTATCAAGTGAAATCTGCTGAAAGAGGAAAATATTCGCGTTGATGCTCTGATGCTTTGCCTTGAATTAGTTTATTCTCAGACTCTAATGAGGAATACAACTGCTAAACTATAAGGCTAACTTGAGAATTGTAAAATTGTTTCCCGAAAATTGTGCAAATGTGAACGAGGATCTCGCGTGATCAATAGTAAAAATTCTAAAATCCTCTTCGATTGTTTTGTCGTATGTTATTGAAGATATACGAACAATTTGTTACCGAAGATTACTGTTATTTAAGAAGATAGAATGTTAGAGGAAACATGTTAGAAAGAGTTTTTACGAAAAGTCACATTTTATAGAATATTGTGGACAGCTGCTAACAGAATAATAAAAACAAACAAGGAAACATTGATGAAACTTTTAGTATATGGTAGTACAGAAAAAGATATTTTTTTTATGGGCAATCGTCCACATCGAAAGGGTGAAAATTGCCTTTAAGGAAGAGGGTAATAAACACATTTGGTGAAAATTATTTATCTTTTAATTTTCAAATTGTTAAAAAATATAATTTTAGGAAAAATACTTTTCACATAGAATTCTGCAATATTTTGTCATAGTGCGCTATCAGATTTCTAAAACTAAACATTTTACAGGCGTGCTTCATTATTATTGTATGGTTGCATAGCAATAAAAAGAAGTATAATAGTGAAAGAGCAAATATAGAAATATTTCTTATATTTGTAATAATGAATTATGACGATAAACCAACATTAAAATCTTTTCAATAATATCTCTTTCAATTGCATAACACTTGTTCTTCAAATTTATCTGTAATAAAATAAAATCAGGGGTTTCTAATAAAATTGCACCATTCCCAGAAATCTACACAAATTGAAAATGTGTCTATTAAATGTACACTATTTATTCTTTACCAATTTTCACTTAAATCGTTTAATCAATATTTACAGATCGAAAGAGATAAATAAAAAAGATAACAGTCCACGTTGTACGATCCTTTCAATAAAACGTCCATCATCCCTTGTATTTGTTAACAGTCGAATAGAAAATTGGAAAGGACCCGAATAACCGCTATTAAACTATTTCGAAAATACATTGGGTGAAATTTGTTAGCCTGAAATTAAATGAGCGCCTTTACGGTGCCAGCGATATTTTGGCAGCCGGTGCGAACAGATTTCCGGTCTGCGGGAAAGTTGCTCGAATAAAGTAGAAAGGCAGAAGAAAAAAGGACGTTGAAGAAGGTGGAAGCTTCGAAAGCAGTCGCATCCCTTTCCATTCCTTATTGTCAGAGGGTAAGGGTAGCAGCGAAGCCTCTGGATAACGGACAAAAGTTTTCTGGCCTGCGCCAAGGTTTCTCGCCTTTCCGGAAATTCGACGTTTTTATGGGGGAGAATAAATAATGCGGCGTGATATCGAGGGATAATCGCACGTCGACGAGAGAAATCGAGCTATCCCAGACACCAGAGTGAGATATCAAGTATAACAGTCCGCACGTCTCGGTTAACAGCGAACTTTGTCATAGATCTGATGGTAGATAATATTAAACGGAAACTAAGTTATTCTAACTAGGAGATGATATTTCTCGAGTCGTTTACATGCGATAGTTACTGTAATGAATCAAACGAAACGAGAGTTTCGTGAAGGTGTATATCTTTTATCGACGATCCGTTTAGATTTCATCGATATTTTCGTCGAGATTAACTGTAGAATTGTTGTATTTATGTACACTCCCGTTCGTAAATATTAAGATCTCATTTATGAATATTAGGAAAATTGTTAAGATCCTGAAAAAAATTCTGGAGCACATACGATAACACTTCTAAATGCCTATTTCCATTTAAGATACTGTTATAAAAGTTAGGTCCCACAAAACATTGTCGCGAAATTGAGATTGAAAGTGAGTTTATTGTAGGTCGTTGAACTTGTGCCACTAACAATTTTCGTATAATATAAAAGGAATTTTAGCTGTCAATGTAAAAATATTCGTGGTACCGTCATTACGAGAAAACCATTGCAAATTTGGAAAATCTATTCAAGCCACCCTATTGTGTATAAAAAGTAACGAAACTTTGTCCTCTTCTATTTTTCCCACAAATCTACCACTTACGAGAAAAACTCTGGAAACTAATAATGTGAACACCCTGTAAATTTATGCTGATATAGTAACAATTCTAGCTATCAATTTCAAAAAGTTCATGGTATCTCGAAAATCTGTTGAAGTCATCGTATTGTGTATGAAAACGAATCCTTATCCTCTTCTATCTAAAAAATGATGGAAACTAACAGCGTGAACACCCTGTATATTTTTATTGACAAATGATACAAACTTTGCCGAAGAAACGTAATTTCAATCGTACAGTACATAATATACGTCCTAATACATACGAACGGCAGCGAATACATTTTCCCTTGAAATCCATTTTTATTTGGAAATTGCACGTGAACGGAATTTATTTGAAAGTGGAAGCTGAAAAATGTTTCCCAGGTAAATTGAAAGCTCGCGTAATTATTACATTTCACTGTGCAACCGGTTCAGATGCAGATAAAAACAAACTCGTAAAACACGAAACAAATTATTCTAATTTACCCACGTAGAGATAGCTGCGCCATCAAAAATCACTCTGTTGGATCGCGTTAAATATGTGCTGAAACGTGTTGCCACTACACGTGTTATCAGCGAGGGGGAGGAGAAAAAAAAAAAGAACACATGCACAGATGATCAACACTGGGATATCCTGTGCCCGGCGTCGCTTCCAGCCTGTTTCCACTTGGTCCGCGCAGTGTCACGTCACGTCGGGTCATGAAATCCGCGTTGCAACCTCCTGAACTTCAGGAACTGTGTCGTAACGTTGCACCTACGACCGCAACGTACATTTGACACCGCGTTTCTCTCCTACATCCGGCTTTTCAATTCACGCCGACAAAATTGCGGCCATATTCGTCAAACTTCGTGGCATGCACAGGTCACGTATACGCAACGCGTAAAAAGAGAAATTCGATCGTAGCGTACTCGTGAAATGATCACCTGTAACTTCGAACCGCAATCGAGGCTACACCGTGAAACGCTACAAAATTCGATCCCTGTTGCAAAATCGCGATGCAAAACTACAGCAAACACGGAAATCGTAATGTTCCCGTTAAAACGGGCACATCGACGAATCTCTCTGTACGTCGAACGATCACACGTGTCACTGTGGAATCCTTGATCATGCCCAAGAATCGGTTTGCCAGATTATAATGACCGTTTGGATGAACTTCATCACTAACCTTCCACGAAGGCTGGACAGACTGCGAGGAACTGCACGACGATGTGGATCGCTGACACGCATCTAGGAATTGGCGTGACGCCGCGACAAATAAGGACGATTCGCGCCGGAATCTCGGTGCAGACTGGCACACGAGGGGGCTACCCAGCTCGCCAGCGGCGAGACTCGAACGAGAGGGTGAGAAAGGGGATGGAGCGATGGTAGATCGGAAGGAGAGGGAGAAAGAGAGAGAGAGGAAGCATCCTTTCTCGATTGCCGTAAGCTTTAGGGTTGGTTCGCATGCGCCCGTCGGGGTTCACGTGCCCTCCGCCATCGCGCACCGTAGGACCCGCCTTCCTCATACGAAAGACACGTTCTCAGGATAGCGAGAAACACACGTAGACATAGGTTCTGCCGCTGCTCTAAGGAATCCAACCGCGAAAGTTCCCCTTAGGTCTGATAGACGGTCGAGAGTTCTGCCTCTCTCTCCTCGACCAGCCAGCCGGCCATCTCGATGTGCACTTTGCTTTAATGACACACAGCGTTAACGTAACCAACTTTTCTTTTCTCGGTTAATTGCTAATGTATCACGTGCTAACTTCATTTTTTTTTTTTTTTCGTCGATGGAATTGAAAAGATCTTAGGTGTTAGGTTTATCGTGCTGATGTTACATAGTGCTAGCTGGTGTTGGGTGTCTGTCTGAACGTTTCTATGATTCAATAGACCGATCAATCTTATACAGGGTGCGGCTAAAGGTATTGTACAAGCGGGCAAGAGGTGATTCTTTAGGCTAAAACAAATAATAAATGTAGAATTAAATATTTTCATCCGTGCCTTAGTTTTTGAGAAAAGTAGGTTTGAAAATCAGTTGCTTACGTTTGCAGTTTCATAGCTAACAAGGGAACATCCCCAAGTGTCATTCACCGATTCTCATGAAATTTATGTACGAGGTAGTTCTGGAAAACATATTTGACACGTATTTTCTTTTATCGGCCTTCAATCGTGTTAAGAGGGTGAAAACAGCCCTCAAAGCTGCGGTGTCGAAATCTATTTGGTGTAATATCTCAGAAACTGTTAGAGATAGAGGAATTGTTTAAATGTGGAGATTGTAGGATACAGTTCGTCCAATGACATAAAATGTCTATTTTGATTGTATACAATGTTACACGACTTTTACGAGTTACTAGGTTCACGAAAGGACAAAGACAAAATTGTATTATATCGATTAAGGAGTTGCTGAAACTGGTGTCATCGTGCAAATGTACTTAATGGATCTTCAAACCCGATTTTCTCAAAGAAAAAAAATTTATTCTACTGTTATTGTTTGCTTTTGTGTAAGGAATCATCTCCTACTCGCTGGTACAATTCTTTCGCCGCACCCTGTAGAGGGTGATCCACGTGAGACAGGCCACCTAATTACCTTCTCTAGCTATGGTGGTACGAGAAAGTTTGGGTACGTAATTTAAATGGTTTCAAAGGGTAAATAAGATGGGAGGAAAGTATTTTTATAAATGACATTTTGATCCGAGCTTTTCATGGTCACCTCTTTTCTTTTTTTGCATGGATGTATATATTTTTTTCTACTGTATGTTGAGACATTGATGTACATTCAAACAAGGATAATAGTATGACCCTGAAGTGACCGTGGACACTGAAATTTTAAATCAAACCAGAAACTTTCTTTCATTTTTCGTCATTTTTTCCACAAAAAGATTTCTTTTATCTTATTCACTCATTGATACAATTTTCCAAACTTAAAAGAAAGACAACTGAATAATTTATATGTTGTCTAGTGCAATTTGTAATATTTTAACCAGTCCAATGAAAAAAGGGGATAATATCAGCTGAAATTAAAAGATCAGCAGCAGATCATTTATTTAAATAATTGCACTGTTTGGTAGAATGTTCATGTTATCATTAAACAATTAATAAAAAGAACATTGTAGTATGTGCTTAATATTTCTGACACTTTTGTATTGTCTAGAACACATATTTTCTTAACAACATTTGATAATCGAATTTTTTATCAATTGGAATGAAATTTTATAACAATATTCATCTACTTTTAGATATTTAATAGAAATTTATGTATAATTAGAATACAATAAATGCTATAAACTACCTAGCAGACAGTGTAAAGAATCTTTGCTGTTTCTTTAAACACTTTTTACAATTTCATAGAAGCCACATTGAACTTTAGTTGAAAAGTATTTGACAAATTAAATTGAAATTCAATTTTATTAGCAGAATAACTTACTCAATGCTTAGTTGTTAAATGATAATGTTATTATTTAATACAAATGTTTATCTTAACTGATTTGTTAAAATATAGTACACCTACACCCAGAAATAGTAACAAAGAAACAATTATACCAAGTATAATTAGAAATTTGATCAAAATCTTCGAGTGACCAACACTAGAATCTTCTCGTAAGATTGAAATACTCTTTCAACTTCGAGTACCTCGTTAATGTATTTTAATTGTAAGGTACAAAAATAAATGCAACTAGTAGATACATTTCAGATCGTTGAATAGATTATGAAATGTAAAATAATTAATTCTTTGTGCACTGAAGGGAATCGGGGTTCGTACGATTCCAGAAAAGTTTCCCGATTTATATCGAATAAAAATAGCTTGAAATCACTTCTTGGTCGATTGGTGAAAAGGATTATCTACTTTCTCCTGTCAGATGGTTAGATTAGGTTCGTGATTCAGATTCGCGGCACCGAGAAAACGTATACGTGCAGAGACTGCTTTAACAGACTGCCGATCGATCAGTCGATATCTCTAATCATCGGTTCGTTTCGACGAAGATCAGGCTCTAAAGGTCGCAGAATACTTGGCCAGAAGAAAATATCCTTCTTTCACTCTGATTAGAATACACAATAAATACTTCTCGCAGAGAATGAAGAAAAATATGTAATTTTAACTTTCATGAATTTATTTCAACCCCATTATTATTTCACGAATTTAGCTCAACCCCACAAAAATAACACTTTTACAATTTTTCAAAACTCTTCAAGATTATACTACAAAAGAACAAATCAATTTAAAAATTTGGAAAATACTGAAATAATATTTAATTACTTGAACTAACCCTACATAATTACCTCTGTACCTGTAATATTCGTTTAGGTATGAAATGTATAAAATTGAAAATTATTATTTTTCCTATTCACATTTTTAACATCCTAGTTCCTTGAATAATATTTAAAAATATTACAAAATTGGTGAGATCTACACAATGTGCTTTTAACACCTCAAGTGTAACGGTTTCTTCTCGGAAAAATTCAACCATTGGAAATATTGTTTAATAAATAACAACTCCATCTAATCGATAAAACGAAAAAAATCTGAAGATGTGTCTCACTCTCGCCTCCGATGCACTCGAGAAACGAACGAATCGAAGAGACATAACAGCCGGTAATTCCCAGAACACCTACCTCCCTCGATAGCAGTCGTGACGTGAACTCGAGCCTGCGTCAATTAAGCGGGTAATACTGTACGTTGCGATCAGATCAGGACAAAATTCTGATTAGATCGAATTCGATCATATCCGACTTTCATGCTCCAAAAAAAGAACTAAAATCTTCTCGGATACTGTGGTATAAAGCTAAACATCCTCTTTTTCACAACCAACCATTCAAAAGTGCTTCTTTTCGTCGGTACAACGCTACTTTTCGTGGCAAATCACTCGAACGTGTTAGTTTTCACATGGAAAGGCGACGCATGCTATTTTTCCTAGCCAACCATTCAAATGTGCTAGTTTTCACGAGGAGAAAAGAAACGTGATATTTTTCGTGACAGCCAAGAGACAAACGTGCTGTTTTTCGCGAGGCAATTGAAACGTGCTACTTCTCCTAACCCACGTCGATATCTTCCACGAAATAACGTATCACGCCAGTCGTAATAATTTGTTGCTCATCCATGTACCGTGTGTTCAATAATTCATGAGACACATAACCAAATCGTATAACTCCGCATATCACACTTTTACTTACGGAACACGCTCCGCAGAGTAAAGCAGTCGGTGCGCGACTATCAAAAATTCGATCTTCATCGACGCTAAAGGGAAAAAGTGAGGCGGTACCTGGAAACCGTTTACTCGAAAACGGTTCAAAAGTCGCCCTTAAACTCGACACCGGCGAGTGCTGTCCGAAGCGAGCGGGAAGAGGGAGAAAGGAGAGTGTGGAAGTCATCCGAAAAAGGTTTCCAGAAGAGTTTAAGCGTTTCACGTCTTTCGGGAGCGTGGCATGCGAAGTAGTGCAAGTCATAAAACCCACCCCACTATCCGGCACGGTATTCGTAACAGACATTATACTACCTACGTCGCACTATTTCGAAGGATGACTTTAAGTGCGAGTGTACCGAAAGTTTTGCGAGGGTGTCCTCGTAAACCGGTAAGGGATGGCTTCAAGGTGACGGCAGTACAAGCGAAACGTGTTTCTAACTTCTCTGCCAGCCCTTCTCTAGCTCCGCTATTTCTACGCTTAACCCTCCGCGCTGTGTTTCTTTCTCCTAGCGTTTGCTTTCATTGACGAGCCAAAGTCGAGGAGATTTCCACCGCATATACCCATTCGTCTACGGTCTACACGCTCTGACGTTTTCCCGCGTGTCACTGCTGTCGCGGCTTTCGTGTCCTATGGACACAAATTGCGAAAGGATATTGTACTGTACACCATTTCACCTGTTTCTACCCATTGACGAAGTTATCTGTTCATATTTATGCGCTGGTAATGAACTGTTTGGTTGAAAGATTATTGTCAGAGCAACACTTTATGGCACTGACGTAGCGAAAGGATATTTCTGTGCTTAGGACTTTTAGCTTATTGTTAGAATGTGTTTAGAGGATTGAGACGTGTCCTGGCGAGAGGAACTGAAGTTTGTAGTCTAGAACTTTTAGAAATTCGTTTCTCTCTCGTCCTCGATAGCCTGAAGACGTGTTACAAAGTGGGAATTTCCGAAGAGTCGTTCAGAAATTTGTTGCAATGCTCAAAACCTGGACGAAATTCGGAGAGAAATTCATTGTCAGACATGACCATTTGTCCTCAAGAAAAGACGCAAGGAAAGGGTGCTCACGTGTGTCCCTTAGTCACGCTGGTTGACGATTAGGTATTTTTAGGAATGACCGATCGGTGTACATGGAAAGAAATGAAAAATGAGACGGTTATCGGAGCATAAGAGTCAGAAACACTCGGAACAGTGAGAACCATTCAGTCAGTTACTTAGAAGCATTCAGAGAGTCAGTCAGTTACAGTCAGGCAGCTCAGATTGTCGATTAGTGACAAGCACTCAATCAAGAATCAATTGGAATCAGAAAAACATGTTGTACGATACTCGAACTCGCGATTCGAATGTATTTTAAATGAAAGCTGAGTGTCGGCGCGCTCGTAACAAATTAATGCCGTAACGGCGATATTCTGGTAGTTAAAAGACACAGGATATTGAGCTACTCTGTTGACTAATGTACAATTGATGTTTAGTTAACTGTACAGAGAGTGATGTGTTGTAATAGTCTCGCAATGCTAATGTGTGTTTGGCTGGTGTGTTGGTGTATATATAAACTGTAGGTGTTTCCTGATTGGAGGTGGAAAAGTGTGACGTGTGTCTGATTGGTCGACTGAAACTGTATCTTTTTGGGGAACAAAATTTGTTGTTGACAAATTCGATCCCAGCAACGGTATTTTTTATGGCTGCAAGTGTTTTTAGGTTCTTCAAGAAAATGCATGGCGGCCAAATGTGATTAACATATTTTATGGCGATAATCTGCTTAACCGAGGCTTAGTTGCATGATCCGGAGGTCGCAACAAATGTTTTACAAATATACCGTTAAAAAGTCAGAATGTTCGATCTGAAAAAACTGGGACACCTTGTATGTACACTACCGGCCAAAAGTTTGGAATCACCTCCCACTTTTCA